AGGTAATTACTTTTCGGGCTAGTGTAGGCGGAAACATATTGCTGTATCCACATCGACTTAAGCTCATAAGGTAAAAAATTTATGCCTTTTTGTTTTCTGCCTACTATAATTTCGAGGCAGGGTACTAAGCGAAATACAACCACGACGTTGCTGAGATATTTGCAAAACTCTGGACAGCAGGTGTCTATGGTGGGGAACGAACGCGCTATTGTCCTTTTCGGGTAGTAACGCGTTCACCACCACACCATGCGGGTCCTTCGTTTCGCCTGTCTCTCAGCTATTTCTATCGATCTTTGCCACAGCAATCACCCGTCAGCGGGGTTGATCTGGGGCGCCCAAATCGGCATAGAACCCAGTTAAGCTGCGGCTGTAGTTGAAATCACAATGTTATACCTTTTTATTTTCTGTCTACTATAATTTCGCGGCAAGGTACTAAGCGAAATACAACCACAACGTTGTTGAGATATTTGCAAAACTCTGGACCGCATGTGTATGCGGTGGGGAACGAACGCGCGCTATTGTCCTTTCCGGGGAGTAACGCGTTCACCACCACACCATGCGGGTCCTTCGTTTCGCCTATCTCTAAGCTCCTGTCTTCTGTGCTGTCTTAAAAGATTTATGTTTGCACATTAATTTTTCCGTATTTCTTCTGATTTATGAAGAGCTCTTCTTACGTAGAAGTATTTGATATCCCTACGCTTCACCTACCACCTTACTCCTCACTGTGTCGATGTTGAGCTATAAAGTAGAGCGCTCGTTAAACCAGGCAGGAGCCCACACAGACATAGTCAATCCGGAAATCGAAATTAGAAAAAAAAAACTGCTCAACCGGGAAACTGTTAATCGAATAGGAAATGGATCGAGGCACACATAATTTATAACGGAAAGCAATCCAAGCATCTAGTTATGATGTAAAATTTTACAATTTTAAACGCAGTTCTACTGAATATGTGAGGGATTTTTTAGTTAATTTTGAGCAATTCGAAGAAACTGTAATTCTTTAAACGTTTCCTAACATGAAGGGTCCTTTGCGGTTCACCTTTGCGAAACCCTAGAGTACCAGATTCATGGCAACTGAGGAATTTATCCATATTTGGAAAATTTCACCTTATAGAACTTAGTTTCCCATTTGTATCTTAATAAGCTGTATTTGTAGCATTTTAAAGCTTCTGTAAAAGCTACAGGCGTAATTCAGTGGGAAAGCCGCAGAGACAAGACCTTTGGTTCGATCTCGCGTTCTGGGGTAACTAAGCCTCTCATCTCTCGTTCTTTTGCGACCACCACGCTGGTACCAGACTTTTATCGAAAGATAGAAATAGTGATTATGCATTCAAGCAACTCTAAGATGCTACGAATAGAGTCAACTGCATGAACCAATCTTAAGCGTTAAGAGAACCTTTATCTTTTATCCAAATTCCTATAATTGTGTAGAAAACACTCCATAATCATTCCTCCATCTTGTATAAGTTCCATTTCGAGAACTTTCACAGTTGAAATGACAAGGAGCTCATCAAACACCTTTAATCATTTTCCCTCTTCCTCAACGGTATTGTTCATTAGCACATTGGAGACGACATGCACTCTTCGTTGGTTACTGAGCAGTCCGGTTAAGCTGAAACCTCCACATATTTATAAAAGAAACTTTAATCTATCACTGTAATAATATAAGTACTCTTTATAAAATATTAGGTTGAAATCTGTCTAGAATACTAACTTTCGAAAGAAGTCAAAACTAAATTGGAATTCAAAAGCTTTTAATGCTTGATACGTTGACTGAAACCATTAGGACATATCGGATTTCTTCGCTGTTCAAGATAGGAGCCTCAAATAAAAATGGCGAAGAATTCCACTCCACATTCTGGAAAGTCAGGACTTTAACGTTTAAAACAGCGAAACAGATTTTCAAGTCCTGGTGGCTCTCACTTCATCTAATAAATTAGTAACTGCCACGATCGACTTTCTATTAACCTCGGCATTGATCAAGTGATTTTCTTCGTATTTTTGTTGAGCAAACGCGAGGTGTTACTATTCTTTGTTCACGATTAAGCTGACGTTTCGGCGGATTTCGCCTTCCTCAGAGCCTGGAAAGGTCAAGTTGATAGCAACTCACTCGGCCAGACGCCTCCATAACCAAACAAAGAAACTCCAAACCAAGATTTCAATCACTTTGAACACAGCTTTGCACACTCACCGCTTTCTATGAGGTTTCCACTAAGTATGTCACGTAGAGACCAACCGCACAGAAATCACGTGGAAGTATAATGTGCCCCTCACATCAGAAAAGCAGTTTTATATACTGCCCTATATCACGCGTGATAATGAGGCATTCCTCCCTGCGGTTCATTTTCGGATTTCTGGAATTAATCCAGAATGCCTCGAGAGTTTTTCGCGCCTGTGTTCTTGATTCGCGTGCGAGGATCGTGACACATACTTCGAAGTCGTCCCCGTTATGTCTCTGGGTCCTANGAAAGGTCAAGTTGATAGCAACTCACTCGGCCAGACGCCTCCATAACCAAACAAAGAAACTCCAAACCAAGATTTCAATCACTTTGAACACAGCTTTGCACACTCACCGCTTTCTATGAGGTTTCCACTAAGTATGTCACGTAGAGACCAACCGCACAGAAATCACGTGGAAGTATAATGTGCCCCTCACATCAGAAAAGCAGTTTTATATACTGCCCTATATCACGCGTGATAATGAGGCATTCCTCCCTGCGGTTCATTTTCGGATTTCTGGAATTAATCCAGAATGCCTCGAGAGTTTTTCGCGCCTGTGTTCTTGATTCGCGTGCGAGGATCGTGACACATACTTCGAAGTCGTCCCCGTTATGTCTCTGGGTCCTATGCGTGCCTAGCGGGGTATTTGGTCTATTTTTGCCGGCTAGGTGTTCTTTCATGCGGACACAGAGGGGTCTACCCGTTTCGCCAATGTATTCGCCACCACACGTCTTACAGGAGATCAGATAAACTATACCCGAGCTCATGCAAATACGAAGAAAATCACTTAATAAATTAGTGTTTTTTTTTAAAATTTCGCTAACAAAGTTAGTTACGAGCCAAAATGTACTTTTAAAATTCAAAGACGCCACAATCTTCGGCCATCCATGAGTCGTGTCTGTCTCACGACGTCAACATTATGTCAGTGAATCCGTTGAGATATTCACTCAGATATTTCACTTAGTATGTAGTAGTAGGAAGCAAAAAACTATCTAATAAAATAATAAAAAAGTGATAATAAGTAATATGGCAATACTAGTAAGAGTAATAATATAAATAAAAAAAGTATGTAACTCTGATACAACTGCACTTTTTCCATGAAGAATAGTTTGACTAGTCCGTAAACCATTTGTGAATTTCAGAATCGAACTGACACTTGCGATCGGACTGTATGTGAGCGCCATGGGATCGTTACTATTGTTGTTCGAGTTGATCAAACCGTCCATTACGTTATTATTCTAGCGTCAAAACCTAACTACGGCTTTTGTAAGAATGTTAAGGACGAATTCTTACACAGTACTGTTGCTTTTCTTAAACTCTATTGACTTACAACACATTCTCGTTAGCGTTTTGCGCAGCTTTGAAAGCGTTATTTTTAGAAAAGATTGTTTTGTGACATAGAAAAAGGATACACAACCATAGAAAGCTGTTCACTACCGTTAAGGTGGGCTTCTTTTGCGGTAATGAAGTCAAAGCTATAATTAATTAAACGGTTTTAGCTCCTCCATGAGATTTTGTTTTCTATAACTAAGCGGGTACTACGTTTGTCCCATATTAATCTACGGACATTAGGTGATAAAGCATCAGCGTCTTGTGCCTTTCCTGATTATTGCTAACATTAAGTTTTACTTCTTGTAATTTACATGTGTGAAAAGCAAATCACCAGATTTACTCGGATCGAAGTAATACTGCTTAATAATAGTAATTTCAATAATCAAGTACACTACTCTTTTTAAAGACCACTTTCTTCATTTTTACTCAAAATGTATGTTTCTTTAGTATAATGTGTCATATAAAAGGATAATTACGACATTAAATCCTGTACTTAGGCTTGTTGTATAACGCAATTTACGTAACAGAGATGAAGGATACCTATCACATAGAGTTTTTTCCAGGAAACAGTAAGGAAAAAACAACAATAATTCCCACTAGAACCGAGAGAGGAGACAATCTAAAACGGAAGAAAAGCGTGGATGTCAACGCGTTGTTTATGGCGCAGGATTCTGTGGTGTCTCATCAGCACCGCTAGTCCTGGGAGGAAAGAGAACTTGCTGCATTTGATTGCTCAACCTTTGCAAAGCATCTGTGAGATGCTCTCCCTGAAAACCAGTAAATATACTGAAGGATTAAGTAGTTTCTTCCAGTGTTTTGAACCTACTCGATCAGCGTAATGTGTTAAAATAGATACTTGAATATTTTAAAGTTCCATTCTTATGAACCGCGCTGACCCAGCATAATTTCAATAACAGTGTTTGCACAGAAGGAAGGAAAACTGGGACAGTGCAGCAAACTGGAAAGAAGAATCAGTTTTACAAAAAAATTAAACCAACGCTGTTAAAGTCCGGTAGGACCGAATGCAGGAATCCAGAAATGAAGGAATCTGGTCCACTGGTGTTAGCTATCGTGCGAGTATACCTATACAATGCACAGAATCATATGAAAACCCTTAGACCGAAATGTTACACTTTATGTGTGCTTACTTGATTCATGTGGACCTCAGTACAATTTCCACTCACCGAAAATTTGCTGATTTTGTAACATTTTCTTTCCCCGGAGTCTCGAAAACAATCCTATGGGATTACTAAGTAGTCACCGCTTGCGAGGTAGTGACTACACTACTACCAGAATGACGGTGATTGATGATACTGATTCCCTCTTACTTGGGTTTTCAGAAATAACTGATGACATTACTCACGTATATACGCTGCGGCATAGTCCAACTCTCAGGAACACACAGCCACGATAATGGAAAAATACTGGGAGTTTGTTATTTTTATACATCATGAGGTAGGTAAATAAAGAATGAAATGAACATGCCTAGCGCGGCCATTCAGCGGAGCCACTGGATCGGTGACGGTGGACGATGATGGTTCTAATCCGAGAAGAACTGCCAACCGACGAATGTTCAGAGGTACACCAACGAAAAGCCGTTTACGTCTACAACAACTGCGTTAACGAAATACATAAATTCACATGAGGATTAATATGTCTTGACTAGAATTAACAAGCACTGTACTGCATCCTACTGCAGCAAAGAGAAAAAAAAATGACGCCTCTTAATGTCGTCAACCTTTCATTTCCTTTGATGTGACAAAGAAGGAAACCATCTATGATTTCAAATCCCTTTTTCTTAAATCATGTAATAGATGTCAATAACTAATCGTGCAGAAGCTACAGTGTTTGAAGATTTGGATCCGTTTCGATCAACTTTTCAAAAATTTCAATGAAACCTAAGCAATGAAGGACTATCACGGATCACAAAAGATATAAACCTGATAATCATTGCGGAACTATCAGTTCATCCCCAGAACGAAAATTTCCTCCATCTTTAGTTTCAGTTCCTCCCAACGGTTTACCGCCTCATCGTGGCTGGGAGGTGTTCCTGGGTGTCGGACGGCGATGTGCAGCGAGGGAATTCGTCTCTCCCAAGCTAAGGAGAGCGGCATTTCCATCAGGAACCCTAGCTAAGAGTAAACCAATACCAAGATCCACCACCGTCGTGGTATCAAAGTCGCATGGTGGGAAATCTCCCTCTGATCCACAAGGGCTGCAACTGCCTGTGGTGGTGAAGACCTGGAGCAGACTTTGGCCAGGCTGACCTCGGGATTCCAAAAAACAATGGCTTGACCAGCAAATCTCCGAAAAATGGAGATTATGCTGAGGCCTGCACAACCAGTGAAGACGGGCCTTTCAAGTATCAAGTATGAAGTAAATTACTTTCAGTGACGAGATATGATTTAGTACAGCTAATAATTAAAGCATAGGAATAACAACTACCTTGGAGCAATCAATAAGATGACTGCATATTCTCTAACACAAAAACTCAAAGTTTGACGAAATGAATTCTGAAATCTAAAACCGATAGAGAGAGAGAAATAACCTACATCACATCATATTACATGCCGAAAGTTAACTTGATGGAAATTCTGCAGTGGAATAAGAAAAGTCTCTAGCTTGCATAAAACAAACTTTTCAACCCATTCACATACTTCTCTCTCCAGATTTTCATTTCATTCGTGCAATGTTGCCTCTCGGCACAGCTCCTAGTCACATGCTCCAGCCAACTTAACGTCTCAGGAACTTTCCATAGCTCGGCTGCTTCATTGACATAAATCTTAAACACTAGTTTCACGCCATCGCTTTCTCTGAAAAGCAAATCTTACATCAACTTTCCTTATAGACTTGCTTAAATTTACCCAGTTAGCACTGCTCTTGTTTGAGATCAAGAGATCTTCAATCAGACAACAAGCATATTTTTTTTTGTCTTTCAAATCGTTTCCCACTCACGTGAACAAGGAATGAAAGCTCACTTATTACGCGCGAACGTTCCGAGATGATGATGTGATTCCACAAGGGGATCTGGTTCAATCTGTAGTTTATCCAGCAACATACTTATCACTCCCGGAAAAGCACAGATAGCTTGCGTAAGCTAAATATGCAAAGAATGCTAGCCAACAAAAAGAGGATATGCACAGACTTTAGGTAAAAAACGTACCAACTGATCGGCAACGTCAAAATCTTCATCAGTTTTCGCATCGAGAAACTGTGCCAGAGCTGCTGAGTAACAAAAATTGGGTAGCACATTCAGATTTTTCCATTCCTTTAAATTTTAACAGATAAACATAGAGTATTCCAATAATAAACCTCTTCACTGTAGAAGGCGACAAACCTTCCAACGTTGATAAAAATCCTTAAACCACGAATATTGTTTAGCTTTAATTGCAATCGTGTCAATAACTAATAGAACTGCGAGGGGGTCTTCTGAAAAAACAGAACAATTCAAAAAAAATCTCCATTACCAAAACAGTTATATCGTCATTACTCTCATAGGAAGCATCCTATACCTAAATGTTGCATCGAAAACCACTTAAATACTACTTAACAAATAGCTAAGGGACGGTAAGAAATTCCAATTGTACTCTTTACCGTTCTGCCTTTCTGAGATCCACACTTCAATGCCAACAATAAACAGTTGTTACAACCTTCATCTTGTGCCTATTTATTTTTCATGACAAGGTATTATATGGAATACAACCACAAGGATACTGAGCTGTGAACACAATTCAGAACCTCAAGTGTGCTTCGAACTCACAATTTCCCCTGTCGGGTTCTAATTTGCTTTTTCCCTAGCCACTTCTTTACCCTAACAGTGCTATCAGCAATCAGCCGTCAGCAATCAAACTGTTACTAAATGTTTTTCTGAAACTTAGTACAAATCTGGTCATAACTCACTTTGCGGATCCATTTTCAATATCAGCTTGGCATAATTTAGAGCAGTTTGAAAACAACTGAAAAGTATTACATACGATGAAGTAAAATGATTTGTCAACATATTTAGCCTCGGTACATCGGTAGACCAACTGCGATTTATTGAATACACCAGAAATGCATTCAATCACCTCCAAAGATGCTTGATGAAGTCGAATGCATGGCGCATCCATCAGAGATTGGTAATTACCGAGAGCTTTATTCTTTTATTCTTACTATTCATGATGATACCCATTGATTTCAAAACATACGAAACCACAAAAAAATGCGCTATTCGATTTTAGACAAAACCTTTGCTAATTTTTCGATAACTGTACTGCTTAAGAGTTCGAATCCTTGGATCAGGACATAGACCAACTTACTCTATCGCTCCGAACACATTTAGTTTATTCAAAGTGTTGTTGCAATTCCACTTAGAGTTAAAATTTCAAAAATCTTAAATGAAATGAAATCCAGATTTCCAAGATTTCTAGAGCAAGTGGTTCAGTTGATGCAAAGGTCAGTGATGCATTTGAAGCCGACTTTGCGTTATATTAGAAGAAATCCCACTGGCTCATTTGTTTCGCTGCTTGAGATACGAACGTCAACGAAAGGAAGCGAAAACAAAACTCCCCTAGAGCACGAAAAAATGAGGCCTTCCTTTCAAAAGAATACGAAAACTTGTACGGCATTGGAAAAGATCCGCACATCCATACATTTTCCATTCCAGTTGAAAAAGTATTTAAAAGCTTACATTTTTACGATGTAAGTTTGTTTACAGACGAAATTCTTAATTTCGGTAACGTATAAATGTGCCCAGACATTCCCAACGAATGAGTTTAACTATTCTGCCAAAACGTAACACTGGATTCCTGAAGAAAAACAGTTTTTCACTGCGGAATGCTAAACAGTGAAGATGCTAAACGGCATTTCGGCACACAAAACAAGATAATGTCACTGAATTCGTCTTCCATGTGGTCGCATGCTGCGCTTAAATTAAGGATATTTCATCCCGAGGCGCTACCCTACTGTAGATATATAGATTACTGGTTTGTCCTTCCTCCCACCGGTCTGCGCATCGTGGCTGGCAGGTGTTCCTAGGTGTCGGATTGCGATGTACAGCGGGGGATTCGTCCACCGGTAGGGTCTCCCAAACTGAGAAGGAGTCCCTTGTTTCCAACAGTAAACCTAGCTAAGAGTAAACCAATAACAGGATTCACTACCGCCGCGGTACCAATGTCGCATGGTGGTACATCTCCCTATGATCCACAAAGGCTGCGACTCTGCCTGTCGTGGTGACGACCTGCGGCAAACTTTGGCCAGGCTGTCCTCGGGATTCCAGGGAACCACAATGGCTTAACCAGTAAATCTCCGAAAAATGGTGATTACGCTGGAGTCCGCACAACTAGTGAGGACGGGTCGTTCAAGTATCAAGTAAGTAAGTTTTGTCCTTTACTCAACACAGGAGGAAATGGACAAATGCTTCGAGTTATTGAATGAACAGTCAGGGTATATCAAGTTCACCCGAAAGAAACCGAAAGAAAACTCGCTTCCATTCCTGAACCTCCAAATTAACCTGTCAGCAAATGGCCACATTACGAAGTAGTACCGAAAGCCAAGTGGTAAAAACATTTTGGTTCATTACCTCTCCTCTCACCCCTCTCACACGAAAAGGGCGCTTGTAAGAAACATGTTTCGAACAGCAACAAACGTCTGCACGGGAACAGAGCAGAGATAGGAGTCCCGAAACTTGGAGCAGCAAAGAGCCATTTCTAATGGCTATGAAACTGTAGCTCGGGATAGGTGTAGGGGAAAATCCTAGGCCTCCAAGCGACAACTCTAGCGATAAAAAGGTCTCGTTTATCCTACCCTTCATCTCAAATGATATAAGTGCAGCTATAAAACGTTGCTTAAGAAGGGCGGGCCTAAAAAATTCGGTAAACGTAGTCGAAATGCCACCGAGTAATCTTAGGCGCCAGCTAGTTCGTAACCGCCTAAATGACCGTCTACGTGCAACGCAAAATTGCATAATTTGCTCTAATGGCAGAGACGGTGATTGTATGAGCTCACCGTCTCTACCGTTAGGGCAAATTATGTTCAGTGGAAGCCTCATAGAAAGCGGTGAGTGTGCAAAGCTGTGCTTAATGTGATAGAAATACTGGTTTAGCGCTTTCTTTATTTGGTTATAGAGGTCTTTGGCCGAATAGATTGCTATCAACTTGACTTTTCCAGGTTCTGAGAAAGGCGAAATCCGCCGAAACGTCAGCATATTCGTGAATAAAGAATAAAAATAACACCTCGCGTTTGCTCAACAATACGAAGAATTACCTAAGACAGTTTAAAAACATTTCGGGAGAATTACATCTACACTTGGAACGATACGCCTAGGAATGATCAAATTTTTAAGTACCTTAGCTATGGAAAAACTGATATCGTCGTGAACATGTCAAAACATAGCAAACATTTACATACCGTTTATGGACACAATTCATCATATGTCGATGTAGTAAGAGGTAAAAGGCACGGTTCTCATAGTCCAAATAGTCTATTCGATGGAAAAACGAACTCAGTTGGAATTTGCCAGACAAACACTGCTCACAGTAAAATATACCACGCTCTAAAACCAAACTCGAATGTTAATACATAGCAGCCGACATACATTGAATGCAATGCATTTTGTGCGCAAACAATAATAGCTCTCAGCTCTGAACCATTACACCTCGGCTCACATTGATTTCTAATAATTGAATAGAAACCAATTGATTAAATAGTTTTCGATATTCTTGTTGAGCAAACACGAGGTGTTACTTTATTCTTTATTCCGTTATACCTAACGTTTCAGCGGATTTCGTCTCCCTCAGAGTCTAGAAAGGTCAAGTTGACAGCAATCTACCCAGCCGAACACCTCCGTAACCAAGCAGAGAAAACGGTAAACCATGATTTCCATCACATCGAACACAAAATAGCTTCTTTGCACACTCATCGCTTTCAATGAGTTCCACTGAGTGTGCTGAGTGGAGATCAACCGCACAGAATTCACAGACTTATATACTACCCAATATCACGCGTGATAATATGGCATTCTTACCTGCGGTTCATTTTCGGATTTCTGGGATTAATCCGGAACACCTCGAGGGTTTTGCGCGCTTGTGTTCTAGATTCCTGTGGGAGGATCGTAACCCGTACTTCAAAGTCCTCCCTGTTGTATCTCTGAGTCCTATGCGTGCCCAGTGGGGTATTTGGGTACATGACCGTATATGTGTAACACAAAATTGCATAATTTGCCCTAATGGCAGAGAAAGTGATGGCATGAGTTCAGTTTATCTGATCTCCTGTAAGGTATGCGGAGACGAATGCATTGGCGACACGGGCACACCCCTCTGTGTCCGCATAAAGGAACACCTAGTCGGCAAGCGTAAACCAAATACTCCACTAGGCACGCATAGGACCCAGAGATATAACGGGAGGACTTTGAAGTACGTGTCACGATCCTCGCGCAGGAATCAAGAACGCAAGCGCGGAAAACTCTCGAGGCGTTCTGGATTAATTCCAGAAATCCGAAAATGAACCGCAGAGAGGAATGCCTCATCCACACTCAGTGGAACTCATAGAAAACGGTGACTGTGCAAAGACTCTGTGTTCAATCTGATTGAAATTTTGGTTCAGCGTTTTCTCTGTTTGGTTATGGAGGTGTTTGGCCGAATAAATTGCTGTCAACTTGACCTTTCCAGGCTCTGAGGAAGGCGAAATCCGTCGAAACGTCAGCTTTAACGGAATAAAGAATAAAGTAACACCTCGTGTTTGCTCAAGAAGAACATCGAAAACTATTTCATCTATGCCGAGGTTAATAGAAAGTCGCTCGTGGGATCTATTAAGAAACCATTTGAATTCACAGATCTTTAACCAATTGTTCGGAGCACATGAAGACTATTTTTGTCACTTTTATTTTTCGTGACTCACATTTCGCACAAGAAAGCAATACAAGAAAGCAAGAAAGTGGTATTTCGTCCAGTAGGGCATGAGGACGTACCCAACGCATTTTCATTGTTTTGAGACTTGCCTTGGAAACGTTGCAAAATCTTAAATTCTACTACAAAATTTTTCAGCGGTTCCTCTAATCTCTAAATACATTCGGAGTTAAAGAATATTTCATGAAAATTACACTTGTCTTTAAGGTGAGAGAACAAAGTCTCTTCTTCGAAAAGTTCTCGGCTCCATAATTACCCTACTGATCGAGAAACTATCGTTAATTATCGAAAAAACACCGAGCGCAGTATTAGTGCTGACTATGTACGTCGTCGGTACACCGTTCCCGACCAATTTTGAATACCAGAACTGACACATATGAAAGGACGAAAAAAGGAAGACAAGAAGGAAAGAATGAAAGAAAAGGATGGACGCTTTCGTAAAGAACTAACCTATCATATCACACGATTCTGTAATATCCTCTTGCATATGAAAGATATTAGCCAAGAGTATTAGTGAATTCAAATGATATGGATTCCCAACAAGTATTTCCTTGATCAATCCAGGATCGAATACCTTTTCGTCTTCCACCGCCCAACACAACCTATAGTGCAGTAAACATTAATTATTCAAGGACAACTGAAGAATTGGCACATTATATCAGAATCACCAGTGAGTGATAAATAATGTCTTTTTCTAGAACTATGAGTAAATGGTGAAAGGAGGAACGTTGAGTCCCACTAGAGGCAGTGGCTCTAAGAGAGCAGTCTCATAAAAGTTGCTTTGCGAATTCTTACCAACCGAAACAACATTGAACTGAATCATATTCGTGATTAATTCGAACAACCGTAGTGCAGCAAAGGTTTGTAATTCTACTATACTTAAAACATACAATGTGTCGATTATGTTTAAACTTATACCACCTTTCGAGCTCTTCGTATTGCGAGTTATGCACGAATTTGAACCATTTTACTTCGCCTTCTTCTCGATCGAGTTCCATAGAAAGACCTAATTAGCAACGAAGAGATATTTAACTACGCAAAGATAAAGTCAAACTATACTATTAATTTTAAAACCGAAATTCCTTTAACCTCGTTGTGACTAGTCAACATTTATATTCCTTGTTTGCTAAGCTTATACGAGGTCGATAAACATTCTTTATCTTCGGCTAACGTTTCGACGGTTTCGTCTTCCTCAGAGCCGATGACGGGAGTCGCTGTGCAGTCGTTCGATCATACAGAAGACGAAGTCGTCGAGACGTTAACCGAAAATAAAGATTATGTATCAATTTCGTGTAAGCTTTACAAAGAAATAATACTCATTTTATTAGTTACTGTATAATATTTCCAGCATAATTATAACACCGATGGTCACACCAAGGTTCCGGACGGGTGGCCAAGTATTCTTTTGTTTGACGATCCTCCCAGCTCCATGAGATGCGTGGTGTGAGCGAGATCCAGAGGACTCCTGGGTTTGTTTATTGTACTACAAACTCGTTTCCTTAAACAACATGAATAAAGATCAAAATGAGGTCTCACCTTAAAAGTTTTCCCAAGAGCTCTCTTGAGCTCCGCTGCAGGATCAAATAGACGTGGGTCGGGTTTGAGCAATTCCGCAACTCCCAGATGCTCGTTCGCCTCAATCTCCGGCGTAGTAGTGCGATTCTGTCAAAGGGTACGCTAATGTCCAGGATTCCTTAGGTCAGACTGGTATTATGATGGATAAAACTGAGGCTTTCTGTTCTCCGAATTCTAAGCAGACATTCACAAATACATATGAATGGATCACAATGAACATGGATATCAAAATAATCACACCATTTTTTTTTTACAAAGAAACAAACATTAATGTCAGGTTTCCTTCTTCCATTTAACATATCACTTATAGACTTTCCCCAATTACACCGATGCTATAGTAGAACAGACTATAACAATTTATTACTGAGTTCTACTTCAAGCCGCAAGTCAATGTACGCAGCCGACAAACTCTACCTAATTTTTGGCCCTTGTGCTATTTGTAGCATACTTTTATTACAGCCGATGATAATCCGCTTAGATATGATGTGTAAATTAAACTATGGTGGTATCGTATGCATAACTAAGATTGCTGATAATGTTCATTGAACATCTCCCTTAGATTGTAGTTTCCAGCCTTAATTTTGTTCTTAGAAAAGCGGGGCCAAGTGTCATGGATATCATAATAATGTTCACAACACTATTTTTCTAGGCTTTCAACAGTTCTAGCGTGGCTACTTTTTCACCGATTATATGCTTTCTAGTAGAAGCTGTCACCAAATACCCGTATACCAATCATGGACATAAGGAAGGCTTTTCTAGCTTCACAACCAGCCAGCGATCCAGCCACACTTATGGTTCTAGGGCGGTCACAAGCAGCATTTTGTCAGTGGTAGTGACCTTCATCGCACAATTCGCCTCTTACTTGCTATGAATTGACGAATGTGTCTGAATCTTTAAAAGACAAAAGAAACTCATTCATACGGGCGACTTTCTTAGGCTTTTCAACTCTCTCACGATTTCTATAGAGCCCAATAAAAAAAATCTTCTACGTCTACTTTTCGTCAAAGACAACATTGTCAGCGAAAGTAAGGTGATCCCACAGTTTTCTCAGATTTGCCTCTTATCCCTACATTGGTACGAATGTTACTGGATCCAGAAATGTAGCGAGAACTCCAATAATCCGTCAACCGTTACAATCTAACAAATCCTACCAGGCGTCATAGCGCAATCAATGTTTTCACATTTTCAACATGGACGCGCGCAGCGCAGTGGTCGGAAGAGCCTTGTAATACACATAGGATCGACTCCCGCGGGTTAGGCTCATCAAACCTTCCATTTCGCGGTCGGCAAATTGGTACCAGGCCTGTCTGAAGGATAGCAGCACTAACTCGAAACAACGGTAGGCCACTGTGAGGGATTGTAAAGGTCATATATGCATTCAATCACCTCCAAACGATGCTTACTGAAGTCGAATGCATGGCGCGTCACTCAGTGATTGATCGATGTCGACAGCTTTATCCTTTTTATTTTTCATATTTTCAACAAAACTTGATTCATTCCTTCTTAATTACTACGTTGACAAAAGCTATCGTACACTTTGCTTTTTGAAACACAATGCTGAAAGATGAAGCTTTCGTTGTTGATCAATACATAAGTGCACCATGCATTGAGTTCGTCACGCATCATAGAAGTGATTGAATGCATATCTAGTTTATACAATAACTTGTGGTAGTCTACCGGTGAGTCAAGTCAGTGCTTTAATCCTGTAGTAATTTTTCGACACCGGGAGCATAGAAGGTTTAGTCAGACCAGAGCGCGGGATCGAACCAAGGACCAACCAAGTTTGTATTGCAAGACAACTCTAGCCACTGGGCTATATGAACCCTAGACATACGAAGCCGTACTACGCTTTACACACATGCCTTACAGCCTCCTACATAATTTTAGAAGTGCAATGAAGAAAGCACTGTGAAACTACCATACATTTTGATGGTTGTAACCATATACTGTCACGCAAAACAGTAAAAACGTTATCCTCGTTGTCCTTCTTTGGATTCTTGTTTTTGAAAAAAAAAACGATAAAGAATTTAGTGCCATAAAGTGAAAAGGAGAGCGTCTGCAATGCTTAACAAGTAGTATTCGACCATGCATCTAATGCCCTACTTTATAAAATATAGATTTCTCTATATTATTAAAAAAACAACCTAGAATGTTCAGTGAAAAAAAGAGGTAACAGTATAACATTGGCAACACATCGATAAGTTAGCTCCAGGATGTAACAAAATGAATCAACAGCTTTCAAACCTCTAAATCATAAAAGCGAAGAGTTTGGTGGTAGGGAGCTAACACGACGATTTGTAATACCTGGGAGGAAATTTGCCCGAAGTCCGTTGAGCTATGCAAAACAGCTTAAAGGAGGTAGATCTCACGTTTTCAATTCCATCGTTTTTCTGCAGCGAACACGTGCAGCGCGGTGGTTGGAAGTGCTCTGCAATACACACGAGGTTGATATCCACGCCGTTGGCTCACTAAGCCTTCCAACCCTCCGGGTTCGGCAAATTGGTACCAAATTTGTCTGGAAGGATAACAGCACTGGCTCCATACATCGCTAGGCCACCGCGAGCCATTGTAAAGGCCAAATATGCATTCGATCACCCCCAACCATGATCACTGAAGTCGAATGCACGCTGCATCCCTCAGGAATTGATCAACGTCGACGGCTTCATCCTGTATCGCTTTTTTTCGGAAAACTTGATCGCTAATCTCGAAGCGAGATTCAAAACATTCAGCGAAACGAGATCTACAACCAGGTAAAAGTCAACTGAAAAATGGTAGTATGTGAAAGGTGAGCGGTGGTACTACTATTGCATCGGTCTCTTGAACGATAAAGACGATAATGATATATATACATAATATATACAAACATGTATGTACATATATATATATATATATATATATACATATTTGCTTGCATACATGGACGGCCTGCCCTCATTAGTTGCGCGGGCCCTAGCATATTCTCCGCTTTTCGGAGTTTTGCTGGTTTAGCCATTGTGTTTCCCTGGAGCCCCGAAGTCAGCCTGGCCAAAGTCTGTCCCATGTCGTCACCACCATAGGCAATCGTCGACCTTGTGGATCACAGGGAAATTTACTACCATGCGACTTTGATACCAGGAGGGTGACGGGACCTGGTATTGGTTTACTCTTATCTGGGTTTCCTGCTGAAACGCCAGACTCTTCAGTTTGAGAGACCCTTCTAAGGGTGAACTCCCCGTTGTACATCGCAACGCGGCACCGAGAAACACCCCACAGGTGTGATATATATATACACATATATATAGTATATATATACATACGTATATATACCAACCATCGACTTACCGCCTCATCAGGAAGCCCAGATAAGGGTAAACCAATACCAGAATCCACCACCGCCCTGGTACCAACGTCGTATGGCGGTAAATCTCCCTCTGATCCACAAGGGCTGTGACTGCCCGAGGTAGTAAAAACCTTGGCCAGACAGACCTCGGGACTCCAGGGAACCATAATGGCTTAACCAGCAAATCTCCGAAAAATGGAGATTATGCTGAGGCCCGCGCAACCAGTGAGGACGAGCCATTCAAGTACCAAGTATATATATACATGCATACACATATATGAATTTATAGATATGTATATACATAATGTACATATATATACGTAATATACGTACACATGTACGTGTATATAGATATATGCGGATATATACATATGTATACAGGCGCATGTATATGTACGTGTATGCATCTACACGTATATATTCGTATATATATATATAATTATAATTATAATTTAACCAATATGTTGGCTAGTGTTAAACAAACTGCAGACCTCAGTCAGAAATTTCTCCAGTAGTTGTTCATCATCTAACTCTTCTTCTTTCCCTTCTTGTCTGTTCTTTTTCTTCTTGTTCGTCTTCCGTTTGTCCTTCGCCTTGGGGCGGAGATGTCTTTCTTCATCGGACTTTTCAGAATTGTGTCCACCACCGCCTTCAGATTTTTTCGCTGTCTCATCATTATCATCATCATCTGAGAAATCACCAAAGCAATAACCACAGGTGGAATCTTTTATGTACCTTGTATTCTATATGAAAAAAGCAAAAATGCATGGTAGTTTACCTTGCAAAGCAGCAAATCGGTTCAACGGTCCAGTTCGCCGTGGTATAAGTTCCTCCTCATCTAAACTTTCTTTTACCTCCTCCTGCTGCTCTCTCTCCTGCAGCATTCGTCTTAGATGTTTCGTCGACATCGCTGAAATTAGATTAGCAGTTCCTTGAAAACGACGCAATAAGGACAAGAATATAAGAACAAAGTCTCTCATTACCGTGAACAATACCCTAAAGGTCACTTTTCATCAACATCGGCATGACTAATCAATATTTTCCTATATGATTAGGCTAACACGAGGTTATTACGAAAGTTTTATTGGCCGCCTTCGTCTTCGTCGAATAAAAAAAGAGCTCTCGGCCTTGAACGATCCCCGAGGAATGCGCAATGCATTCGAAATCATTAAGCACTGTTTGGAGATGGTTGGATGTATATCTGGCCTTTGCAATGGCTCGCGGTGGCCTAGTGATGTGTCGAACCAGTGCTGCGATCCCCCCGGACGAGTCTGGTACCAATTTGCCGACCCCGGACGGATGGAGACTCCGGTGAGCCTGGGGCGCTGGGATCGACCCCATTTGTTTTGCAGGGCGCTATCCACTACTGCGCCACACGCGCCCGTCTTCTTCAGAGCCACGCTGATCCGAGTCATTTGTCTTTAACAGGTCGTTCTCTCGATTTGGATGTTTAAGAGAACCTCATGGTAACGTAGTCATCTAAGAAAATGCTGAATAATGATGAGTGTTAGAAAAATGTCCATGAAAAACCAATATACAACATGCGTTTTATTCGATCCAAAGAATCTAGATGGCCTATGAAGTACATGGTTTAAACGAATCGTCATTGACTTAATGCCTACTATCGAAACTGTGTTGCATTTGCTAACCTCTGACAACAAGTCATTTCCACAATAACAGTTTTAAGGTCCGGATGTATCAAGGTGGTATATGAACCACTCCTTTTCTAAAGCTTTGGCACACCATGGCACAAGTGGTGACTAGCTACCACAATCTGACCAACAAACTGGATAATTCCCACAACCATAATTGGTCACTTAGATCTTCTGATGGGTAGATTGCAGTCAATCGTAACACTTCCAAGCTCTGATGAAGGCAAAATCCGCCGAAAGTCAGCTTTTCCGTCAATAAAAAATAATGTAACACCTCCTGTTTGCTCAACAAAGATATTAAGACCCTGACTAATATTTTAATCCTCCCTCTGGAGATTACTCGTAAAATATTTAAGGACAGCGGACGTTGAGTTCGCTAGGAGGTTACTTCATTCATGAATGACAATACTCTTTGTTATTTAACACCAGACTGTACACGATCAATGAAATATTGGAAAATCAACCATTGAGAAATCGAAATCAAAGAAACACGTAATGTATTATTCTCTCCATAAAATACAGACAGTGCTTCTCATGTGTTGCCGATGACACTAGTAAAAACCTTCAGATCAATATCAAATATGTGGACAATACAATCCTAGACTATAAATGTGCATAGTCAAAAATGCTATAGAAAGCCCTGGACAACGATGAATTCAAAACTAATAGAGTTAGTAAGTATGGACGACTAAGAACAATAAAAGTCCTACTAAAGATTAGACTACACAAATTTTTCTCTTGGAGAAAAAGCGGAATCCGGCAACCAGGATGGTTTATAAGGCACTACTGGAAAACCTTCCACAGTCAATAACCGACCAAATGCGCTTAGTGATAGAAGAGCCAAGCCAAACATTGATCCACATGAGATCACCTAAAGAACTACGGACAATTTTGATAGCAGCACTATTGTCACCGAGTTTAAGCAAGCGAAAAGCTACCTCGCCAACTTTCTTATCATCCAGCGTTATGATGGATCGTCTTTTTAAAGGTGACTCACATTTAAATGGAAGAATTCGGCGTCGAATAACACCTAAAAGCGCTCTTTTACGGCGTAAAATAATCTTGACAAAATTAGTAAACAAAATTAGTCTGCCTGTGTGTGCAGTTCTCGCAGTTAACTCTTGTCCAATATAACAGCCTTTATCCAAAGACACCATATTCAGAAAATCACCATTAACCTGTAAAAAGTGGTAAGTTTGAAATAACAGAAAGGTTACTAGGCGCAAAAACTATATGACTGCTATACACCTGGAAAGGCAGAAGTCCACCGAGCTCCTCACAACCCTCAGCTATTCCATATTCCATCCGCCTTTCATGGTAATCGTCTGGACCAACACACTCAGTTTCAGCACGATAGAAACGTCTTCCTAACGATGAGCATCTAGGGTCAGGAAAAGAATTCTCTGCTTCTTCTGTAGAAAAAAGCACACGATGGTGCGACTCAATGATCTCAACCTAAAATATAGTGAAACTGTAAGAACCTTAAACATAAGAAATATTAAGGGAGATCTCTTACAGTCTTTCGCATGCGGTACTTCTCCAATATGCTTTTCAAGTTTTTTCTGTTTGACGTGGAACACTCCACAAGGATATCACCATTGTCTCGTGATATTATCACATCATCGACAATTCTACCCTTAGCATCAAGGAAAAGGGCAGCGATACCCTTCAAAGGCGACACAGTCCTAACAACTGAGTTATAAAGAGATAATAAAACACATTAAATTTAAAATGACGAAACTTGATCAAATCTTAATGAAGAATATTTAGGTTACCTCACGTCGTTAGTTACAAGGCCTTGCAAGAGTTTCAAAGAATCTGACCCTCTGAGTAATAGAATTGAGCGATGAATAAGTCCTCTAATGGATGACATCTGAAGTTGGAGTAGTCCACAACAATACTGTAGAGCTGCACTGCAGATAACTCGAAATACACAAGCGCTGTAGCAGATAACGGCTTCGAAGCAAAATCTTTTATTCCATAAATGTACAAGACGGTGAGGCAGATCGGTATAAAACAATAGAGCTTGGTGAGATGCTTCAAAATGGAGAAAGCTAGAAATTAAAGAAACATACAGATTGCAACGAAATATAGTTCAAAAGCCATGGTTACCAAAGTCGAAAGGCATATAAAGGTAGCCTAAATCACCTTATAAACCTGGGTTTGTCTAACCAGTAGTCAGTTTCACAAAGTGACATGTGAAAGTGAAGAAAACGCCTCCGAAAAAAGGTCAGTAACTAAAGTTGCTATTTTCGTAAAGAATCTTCGTTCTCTTGGTTAAAGAATGTCATTTGAAGAGCTTCTCGAGCTGTCAGACGTTGTTCTGCCGCAAATGTCAAACAGCCATTAATAACGGGTAAGGCGTCAGCAGGTAATCTTGGATTTAACCTAGATATGCAGACCACTGGGATGAAATACAGAATCAGTTCATAATTATTTAATCCCTTCTAGGAACAAACAAAGAAAGTAGGACAGGGCATTTGAAAAACGCCACGAACAGATTATCTCAGTGTCTAAAAAGTGCTCGTCCACATAACCACTTCCTATGAAACATAGCATTTCTCGCCTAGAATATTTAAATAGCATAAGAATAAACCTTTCAAGCGGCTGAGCAGGATAAGATGGATAATTGGACCGTTCAACGATGGCGTCATGTGGCCAGAGTGAAGATCGAGGTGTTCCCATTTTTCTTGAACCAACTACTATAACTCACAGAACAACGAAACAGCAAATCAGAATAGGATTACACTTTATATCAACACAATTTGACCCGGTCAGTAAAAGCAACTGTTGAAAAAATACCACATTTTACTCACTGAAAGATAATGCTCAGCTGTTGTGCTTCCGTTTGGCCAGGAAACAGTGGCAATCTTTGATACAACTCGCTCACGATGCATCCTATAGCCCAAACGTCAACTGCCGTATTGTAGCTACATTGTAGTAATAATTCCGGACTTCGATACCAAAGAGTAACAACCTTTAACACACTTCATGGCATAAGAATTAAACTGACAAGCAAAAAGGATATTAATAACACCACTCACTACGGTAGTAAAGCAGCTCTGTGTAGTGTAACTTCTCGACAAACCAAAGTCAGCAATTTTAACAGTTTGATCACGATTAATAAGAATGTTTTGTGGCTTAAGATCCCTATGGATGATGTTATTGCTATGTAAAAAGTCCACGCCTTCAAATATCTGTAGTAAAATAATAAAATAGATAAGATGATAACATAGAAAAACAATGTTGAACACAAAAACATCTTTGAAATCACTAGATCACCTACCTGCCTAGCTATCAGTCTGCACTGATGATCTGGCATATCACGAGGTATGTCCTTTAGGAAGGAATACAGATCCCAGTCGCATTTCTCCACAACCATATTAATATGCAGATCACATCCATTATTTTCCAAAGTGTGAAATACGTCATGTAATCTGAAATTATCGAACATCTTTGCCAATTTCCAGGAAATTTCGACTTCCCCATTACATTATATTACCCTAGGACTTCTATACTCTTGGAACCATTACTTTAGAATCTCTATTCTCTTGGAACCATTACCTTAGAAATCCTACGCCCTTGGAATCCAACTGTCTTCAAACTCGTTAAACCATCCTAACTCAGATGTAGTAGAAACGTATGACAATGTTACATCTGTGCTTTATTTACTGAATATAACGACATCACAGCTGTATTTTATGACGTAAGTCAAAGTGGTACAACAGCATATAAGGATCCAATTAAGTGATAAATAAAAAACTCTGCATACAGTGTGATATTTTTGTGACGAAACCTCCTGAGTGCCATCATACTTGAGATTTCACGTAATACACTTTGTGGTACACCGTCGTCATTCACGCCCACCACGATTTTCTTCAATGCATACTGAAAATATGCCAGATCATACTTTGCTTATATATCACTCCTTTTCTTCGGTAATCGCCAAGTTGTTATACAGCATATGTATACTTTCACACAAAAAAACAACACAACAGTACCTAACGTTTCTGCGGTATCGCCTTCTTCAGAGACTGGAAGGGTACACTGATATGCAGTTTACTAGCCCAAATGCTTCAACAACACAGAGAGAAAGATGACAATCTGAACCGTAGTACATGATCAACAGCTTCTCGAGTTGTTCTTCAGTGGAAGTCACATAAAAGAAACGGTGGGCTTTCCAGAAGCTGTTGATCTTGTGACTACCACACAGATCGATACTGCCGAAGCGTCAGCTACTGCTGTATTGTATGTGTTTCTTGTATGGAAGTAAACGTATGCTGTGTAAATACCTCGCGATTGTTGAACAAGAAAACGACGCATTTATAATCCAACGCAGAGATTAACAGAAAGTCGGTCCTAAAAACTATTACTTCTATGACTTTTAGGCGAAAATATCCTTAACTACAAAGATGAAGAGTAAACAAAGGTAAACAAAATAATGAAGGAGAAAACTGCCTCAGTCATCGTTGGGGTGTGTGTTACATGGTATACAACGCCGTAAGCGCCTTTTCCAAGTACGTTCAATTCTCTATACTCATCGGCCTTCGACGACCGCCAAAACGGTGGCTGAGTAGTTGCCAATGCCATTCGTCGAGCTTAAATGAAAACGTATGTACAGAATCTACTAAAATTGATGAATTTCATGCGTGTGGAATACTAAATTATCTTAGAAAACCAAAAAACTTAGTGAAGACTAACTAGTTATCAAAACATGACGATACTACTCATGTACTTCAGCTTGTCTCGTAATAAAATTTGAATGAGCAACAAACACGCTCCGCTAAGGATTAGTAAATCTCTTACACACCAGGGAAAACTCGTACGATCCAGAAATGTAGCTCCTTATTTCAGACTGGTTTATCGAGTACAATGGGCTAGAAATGATGACGTTGTGGAATTCCGGTGGTCAACGTTGTTAAGTTTTTAGTTAAAATAACAATGTGGGTATATAAGGTCTACTCGTAGGATTGCAATAGTCAGGTAAAGCAACTTAATTTACTTGTTTATGCTTATGCATCCCTCACAACAAAAGTAAGCAGTTTTGCAAGACGGTCAAAGTAACAATAAAAGCTTGAGAAGCACACTAGTTTTACTAGTTAATCAAACATAGTACCCTTTCGCAGTGCAGAGCTCTGAACATGCGACTGGGTTTTCGGACGAGTTGTCATGAAATTTTTGACTTGTTCATGTGTTTCTCTGACCTAATGACTATGTTTGTTGAGTTTCCTCCGGTAGATTCTAGGCCAGTTTTCAGTTTAGCTTAGAGAAATCCGATTACACAACCAGAGAATGGTTAGTCTCGGACTGTGACTTGTTTTTTACGGTTGGAAAGATATCTTTGTGGGCGCAGAAGTTGTCTTGAACGGAAAAAGTAGTTTTACATTGATTACAAATATTGATTACAATTTTGTTAGGTTAAACCTGTAATGAAATGGCTGTTCCGCAGGACGCAGAAGAATCTGTATGCCCCGAACGTTTTCGAAGTCAGCTGAGAGAGTCGTCGTTCACGATTCCGGATATATCAACAAAAATCTTCAAGGAAGAATGCACATTTTGCTTTCGTACTCCTTTTCATCAAGGTAACTACTAAAAAGTATCCTTATTTTTGGAGTTGTCACCTCTTAAGTTTTCTGGCTTCGTACTTTAGGTGGTCTATTTATATGCTTGAGGACCTATGCTTGTTTTTGTTTTACTCATGTTGGGATCTATGCTGAACAATCTCGAAACACCTTGTTCCTTCATATTTGTAGTAAAAAGGTATGGCACTTCTATCTATATTTTTCATTGTTTCTTATTTATAAAGGAATTCACTCTGCTGTCAACTTTCGTTTATCATTTTTGTTGGATGTATGTTCGTACAGGTTAACCCTGAGTCTGAAGAGGAGTCGGACGGCGAACCAAAGGATAAAATAACTCGTCTGGCAATTGGTGTAGAGAGCGGCTTTGATGCTAATAAGTCTGGCTTATTTTTTTCATGATTGTTCATTGTATTGTGACACTTTGAGATTGTGTAAAACATTTTAGGACGCAGGTCGTTGATACATTCTCTCTAGTTTTATTTCCTCATATAAATGCAAAATGCCCGATTGATGAGAAACTTGGAGCAGATCTCTATGGGTAAGTTGAAGTCATTGCTGAGGCTTTTCTGAATTTTCAAATGTCTAATTCTTCGCAATTTAATCTATACTTAGTATCTGCCAGTACGTCATTACGGCGACCAGTGCAGAACGAATAGCTCTACTACAGAATTCGAGCAATGCATGGGATGGAGAGGTACTGCTATTCCATAGAGAGCAATCACTTGCCTTCCAATTACTATGTACATGGGGCGATTTGAATACGCTTATTCTAGATCAAGCAGGTCACCAAACATGCTAATCTCGTGCAAATGCCATCTAAAAAAGTGGTACGAAACCTTAAGTTAAATCCTTAATGAAGTCTATTGTGTTTTCTTCATATGGCAAATCAGATTCCTGCGAGCGGTTGGGCTTGTGAAGCGGAAGGATGTTCACTGACAGAAAATCTTTGGCTGAATTTGACGGATGGTGCTATAAGGTGTGGTCGCAGTCAATTTGTTGCCGACGGTCAGATCTGCAAAGGAAATAATCATATGAAACAGTATTATGACGCCACTGGGTATGTTTTTGTTATTCTTGCTTCTAACTTTTTTGTTTATGCACTCATTTTACTTTCAGTTTCCCGTTGGTAGTGAAGTTAGGTACGATTTCAAGTGAAGGGACTGCCGATGTTTTTAGGTCTTTTGCATCACTTTTGGGTTCTGAACATTCGTTTCTGTCATTTCTTTTTTTTAGTTATGACGAAGACGATGCTGTCATTGATCCTAACTTGGACAAGCATTTAGCACATTTTGGCATTGATATGAGAAGTATGAAAAAGACGGAGAAGAGTACACTAGAATTAGAGTTAGATATGAATCAGAAGTGGGTTATTTAATGAACATTAGTTGTTTTTATAGAAGTTTACTCCGTAATTTTCTGAATGAAATAAAGTTGAAAACCCCTAGGTGGGAGTGGGCGAAATGCCAAGAAGATGGTGCTAGTCTCGAAAGTATTTTTGGACCTGGTTACACCGGGCTGATCAACATAGGGTCGAGCTGCTACATGAATTCAGTATGGTACCATCTAATACGTTGTTTCTATGCATTTAGCTCTTCAGTGTTTGGATTTTAACACAGGTACTACAATCTTTGCTCATCGTCCCATCATTTGTCACGCGTTTTGTTGACGGTGCTGGCCCTATTCTCTCCCGAGTTCCGCCTCTCGATGTAGTTTCTTTTCACATCAGTTTTTAAATTTCTTTTAGAATTCAGTTTATGTAGCGACGAATGTTTCTAACACGGTTTTTTTTTTAAATCTGCTTCCATACCTTTGAATACTCGTTCGTTCTAAGGTTCACCTCGATTTCAATGCTCAGGTGGCTAAACTGTTTTCGGCTATGGCGAGCGGCGATTACTCGGTTGTGAGTAGCTGTCACATTTGCCTTTTCTTTTATTTTAACAATTTCAACTTTATCTGTTATTCATGACACCTACAAATGGGATATAAGGTGTATCGAAATTCCACCTTTTTCAATTTAGGAGAATGGCACTATGAATGGGATCAAGCCGTCGCAGTTCAAACGCGTAGTTTCTGGTACTCACCCCGAATTTTCTTCCAGCCGACAGCAAGATGCGGAAGAATACGTCAGGTGAGATTAGTTATTGTTGTTTAGGTGCACAGAAGTAATGCTTAGGTGGTGAATTTTGCCGTATGTAGTAGTTTTCGAAGTTATTTTTCCCCGCACTTTATTTTTCTGAATGCGTTTATCAATGGAGTAGATATATGTGACCTCTCAAATGTTTACTTCGTTGTCGCTGTTAGTGTTCCTTCTTGTCGGATCCCGAGGTGCTGTAGGATTTCAGTCCGTGTCTCTAGAGAGAGTCATCCAATCGCCACTGTTCTGGAAGAAGCGTAGTCAACAAGTGGCAGACATCCCATTGATTTATTAGGTTCTATCTATACAGCCGGGAAACGGATTATCGAGACTGATTCGTGCATAGACAAAATCTTGCTGTACCAATACAATGCTAAACAAATCCGAAAGCGCAGTTTTCTCAGCTAAAGTCTTTTTTCTGGCAAGTTTTCTCCTCATTTTACTGTCATGGCTTCGCATGTTTTAGGTTTTTACTGGATAAAATATCATCAAACACACCAGTAGGAGTTCATGATCCTACTTTATCGTTAAGGTGAGGTAATTGTGTTCGTACTTCGACATAATGTTGTCTTTCCAGTTCTATGGCGAAAAATAAAAATTTATCAGGTTTAAAATAGAAAGTCGATTTGAGGACATTGCATCAGCCATGGTTAGATACACGGATCGGGAGGAGACTGTACTTGCTGTTCCTATACCAAAGGTTTTATCCCTCTTTATTTTGCCTATGTTTTTTAAGATGGTTCTTGTACTCTTTTTTAGGACGCCATTAGAACAACGGTAGAGGACAATGCGCGATCTTCTGTTGCTTTAACAGATTGCCTTCGTGCTCTTTTCCAACCTGATGTTATCGAGGTTAGCTACAGTACTGTTCGTGTGGTTAATAGTTATTTGGTAAATATAAGGATTTTTGAATGTTCAGGACTTCGTAAGTCCAATCACTAATGAGAAGAAAGGAGCTCGAACTACCATTCGGTTTAAAACATTTCCAAACTTCCTATTCCTCCAAGCTCAGGTGAGAAGTCGGTTGTTTGACGTTGTGCGGTTTTGCAACCAGAAAATTACGTTATCTCTTTCTTTGAAGGAACTTCTCTAGTTCAAGTTCTTTGTGCTCTCCGCTACTCGTTTTCTGTCCTCTTTCAATGTTCTTATGGGTTGATAAACACACAACAGACAGTGTGCATTCTATATAATCATACGCGGCGGCCAAGTAACCTGTATGGACTTCATATGGATAATTCTTTTCCCAGAGGTTTATTTTACTGCGCAGAACTCTCCTTCTACATTTGTAGTCAGTTCAAACCTTGCCCTACACATATGTTATGATAAGTGGCGGACTTTAAAGGCCCTATTCAGCTCTATCGCTCTATAGGCTCGAATAGTATGGGTTTACTACTTAATATTTTACTATGGTCCATCATGCAAACTCATCTTGTCATCATCTGCGTTTTGCAACTTATATATGCTGTGTCTATGTTGGTATTTTTTTTAACCTACGTATTCCATGCAGTGATTCATTGTAGTGATTAGAACTGAAAAGCAGTTGTTTTTTAAATGATCGGTCAGTGAACTCTTTCGAGAAAAAGGTTTTTATATATTTTTAAGTGCAAGTGTAGATTTTCCCAGTCGACAACCGCTACCACATCTGTATTGGATAAATTATCGATTGATTGCGAGAGGTCTAGGAAAACGATCTTATTTGCCTAAATAAACCATTGGAAAGGAAGAAGTGAAGTTCATAACGGGCACGCGCGGCGTTCCGTATGATTGTGTAGAATGGGCATCGCTCGTTAGGCGTTAAAGCGGAGTAAACAAGTTATGTTTTCCAAGTTCATTATGACGACTAAGACCATTCATGGTAGGTAACCGAACTTTTTAAGCTCTCTTCACAAAGTTTTTGAGCAAAAGTTCTGCTTACCCTATGTCGTTGTTGCCTCTTCTGTACGCTATGTCATTTTAGTCTCAAGGGTTTTTACAAAGTTGCATCTCACAACATTCTTTTCGAGGAATTCAGAGTAAGCACTATGTTTAAGAAACAGAGTTTCAATCTAATAAGTTGTTTTTTTTGGAACGTCTTCCCATTCTTTAGTTGGATCTTGAAATGTAACGTTATTGACAGCAATTATAACGGAAACAGTAATGTACGTAGCGCTTATGCAACCGTATTATATTGTGATCTTGGAAACCACTAAGAAACATGCATCTGAAAACTCGTAGTTCAGTATGAGGCTATATGAGCTCTGCGCAGATGCTGATAACCAAGGTCTGCAGACAAGTGATAAAATAATAGGTATCGGCGGAAATGGTCATCATATTCGCATGCTATAAATTTCAGTCAAGAAATATGTAAAGTGCGAGAAAGCTTTTCATTAACTCGGTACGATGAAGACGGGCTGCATCAGTAACTGTCGCCCAATGTGCTTGCTGTGTTTTGTCCTCGAGCACCCTATCCCAGTCATCTTCAATACCACTTGCAGAACGAGAAAAGTGACGACCTAAAATTGTTCCTTATAAACGTAAACGCGACGTAAGTATGATTGGTATACTATCTGCGTTTTCTAACTCTTTATCAGAAAGTCACCACTGTTTATTAGGTTAGTGTAAAAGAAATGGCTGATTCTGGACCACAGACTGGAAAAGCTATAATCTGTGTTGAATATAACTTTCATGTGTATCACTTGTTGTCTCGTTGATCTTTGAGTGGCTCGAGCCAGTAAATTTTCCATTTTTCTCTGTCATGTACCAGAACAACTCAGTGGATTCTGCTCGTTCTATGGATTCACTGAGCACCATACTTTTTTTCTATCATTTTCGTGAGGAACCCTGATCGCTGCTTGATTGGTTTTCCTGCTCCACGTTTGACACTCGAGAAATCCAATCGCTAACGCTTCTTTCTCATAGGGTGATGTTCAGACGCATCGGATGTTTGCCCCATCTTATTTTCGACATTTTGAAATTTAGAGCGATTTCTTTTACTTCCTATAGTTCATATAGGTCAGAACATCGAATTCGTTTTCCCAGTTGAGTGATACGCGATACCTCCCGCATCATCTCTTGAATATGCGCTTGACAACACAAAGTGGCCTTCCGTCATGCATACGTAACGACCAGGTTTCTGACCAATAAATCGTGGAGTCTAAAATGTGGGCACGGCGTCACATGTTCTTATTCTTACTTTTTGGTTAAATCTAGAGCTAGGTCTTTCATCATTATAAGATTGTTGCTTGTAGAGATTCACTATGTCGCCAGACTTCACGGTAAAGAAGCTCGATGTTGATCTGCAGGTATGTGCCTGATGTGATCCACTTTCTCACTTCTAATTCTTTGTTTAATATTTTATCATAGGTTCCTGACGAGTTAGATCTCTCTGGTTTACGTGGTATTGGTAAGAAGGAGAATGAGACACTTCTACCCGATGATGCCTCTGCAGTTTTAGTTCCTGCTTTGCCTGAGTATGACAAGACCATCGCGCAGCAGGTATAACCATCCTTATAATTTACGTGAGATTTTGTAGACACGAACTTTCAGTTAGAAGCGATGGGTTTCACTCGAAATGCATCCATTAAAGCTGCGATAGAAACAGGTAAAAATGGGGGAGTTGAAGCTGCCGCCGAATGGGTCATGCTTCGCCTTGACGACCCTTCACTCAATGATCCTCCTGCTCCTATTGCCTGGGCAGGTCGTTCTGTCCCTGCAGTACTTGATCACATGGAAGGACTAGACGAGCTGGTTGCCTTTGGTATGATCAGTATGATTGTTTCATTTTCTCTTTCGCTTTTATGAATTTTCGCGTATTCCATAACATTATAGGTTTTACTCCTTATCAAGCTCGTTATGCTCTTAGTCGTAACACTGATGCAAATGCTGCCGCAGAATGGCTTTTTGTTCATGCTGATGAGGTTGGTTGTTGATATTTTTCTTTCTAACCATGTGTTATTTTTTTCTTTTGAAGGTACCACCAGAATGCGGCGCCGCGGTTCCGGGTGAGAACACAACTCCTCTAGCAGCATCTCCATCTCGTGAATTTAGTGATGGTGTTGGCAAGTATCGCCTTGTGGCGTTTATTAGCCACATGGGAAGCAGTCCTCATTCTGGACACTATGTAGCACATGTGAAAAAGGACGACAGATGGGTGCGTTTCTGTTGGCTACGATTTTTGCAAAGCATTTTATTCTTAAACTGTATCACTGTTCTGAAGTGAATAGAATTCAGATTCTTTTCAATGATGAGAAAGTGGCCATCTCACAAAATCCACCTCGACAGCTAGCCTATTTGTATTTATTCCAGAGAGCTTAATAATGGGTGTACTTAAATCGCCAGGTATCGTAGTTTGTAATTACCAGTAGTCCTTTCTTTTTGTGGTTCACGCCAATGTTCGTCAACTTCTAACTTCAGTTCTTTTTACTATCTACGTTAGGATATACCTGCGATTTGACCCCTACTTAGTATTATAGTTCGGTTGATGTTTACCATGTTTGTTCCTCTCAGTTGTTTGTCAATTCTATTGTTTAGCAATTATGTTTCCGAATAACTCGTGAAGCTTGTCTTTTAACGAATGCTTCGTTTTATATAGATTCTCTAATGTTTAATGCTTATAAAAATGATTTACTGTATGGGACAACAACAATGTTTAGATGAAAAGGCACTGTAGAGAGTACAAGTGTATGGTGAAGGTGTGTAAACCATGATTCCTGAGAATGGAACGAGGCATACGGAAGAATACAGTACGAAAGACTAAGTGAAACATTAAACATTATCTAACACTGCACAGATTTAATCCAGATTGGTGGGATAATTTTACAACCCGTTTTGAACATAACTGTGACAACAATGTGCTATGGAAATGCTCATACATCAAATGACTGACGTCATATTTTTGGCAGATGTTGTGATTTTTGTCTAAAAAACGACGTCCACACGTGAAAGATTTATAACGATTGCGATTCATTGCTAAGATTTCACTGATGTTTCCAGACTTGGTATGGTAGTTGTCAACCATACGTTTGATAAGCTAGGGACAAGCTGACACCATGTAAACCACGTAACCGTAGTAATATTGTGGTTATAGTTAAGGGTTTGTTTCAACGAGTTCTAGGTGTCTCCTAGGTGATGATTACGATGAACGAGCAGGGAGGGTGTTCAACGGAAGTCATGAAAAGAAATTCTGGATATTATACTGCTAGTTCGAGTATATGGTAGATTTCATTGACTTGAGCTTAGTAGCTAAAGACGCTGAAATAAGTGTGGGAGCGGACTTTCATAATTTAGTGAACGGGGATAGCGTGACGACGGTTTAAGGAAGTATCATCAATCAGGCCTCATATTCCAGGTAACCCATATATTGGAGAATTTGAATATGGTTTTGACAGCTTTGGTTCATCGTATAAGTAGGAAACGGTGGTGTCAGATCAAGACGGTTATGGCGTACATGCGTCGCTATCATGACGCTACTGTGGTTCTCATCGTGACTCCATCGCTGTAATCGGAATTTGCCGATTGAGAATTGTGGTGCAGTTCTCGGTTTTTGGGAGACATTCTGGTGGGTTGTAGCTCACCACATGATCACCAATGAAACGAGCCTGACGATGTGCTAACATCTCTGGATCGTCTCTAAAGAATTCAGTAATTTATTCATTCATAACTCTTCTACTGAAATATAGTTACCCTTATATTTGCTGCCTACTATAATTTTTTACGGGAGGGTATGATGTAAAGTTCAACCACTACGATGCTGAAATATTCGAAAAATTTGGCTCCCGGGTTTGATCAAACCACGATTACCCTTTTCGAGGGCTCGTGAATTAAACATTGCAATATTTTGCAAGCATCTCAACATCATAGTGGTTATAATATAGTTTTGTCTTCAAATGTAATAATTTATTAATATACTATTTTCCTGTTAAGCATGCACGAGGTTGTCATTATATGCTATTTATTCATAACAGCTGACGTTCCAGTGGATTTCGCCTTCATTATAGCCTGGAAAGGTCAAGTTAATCGCAACGTAATCAAGCAAACACCGCCATAACTCCAACAGGAAAACTCCGACATCTAATTTTCAATCGGACTAGGTATAAAACAGCTTCATGCATTAGCACATCGCTGTGAGTCTTCCACTGATTATTCCACCAGAACACTAACCGCGCAGCACGTTAAACTTTGAGTCTGAGATAATGCCTAATAACCTCCTTACAGTTGAATTTCGGATTCTTGGAATATATCTAGTACGCTTTAAGGGTTTCACTCGCTGAAGTTTTAGACTCCTGTGCAAGGATGGCAACTCCTACATCAAAATATTCCCCGCAGGGTGTCTGGCCTACGCGCGCCTACAGGAGTGTTTTGTTTAACTTTATATTTACCGTCCACTTTACCTTTTATACGGACACATAGGTTGCGCGTGTAGCGAAGTGGTCAGAGGCGCCCTGCAATACACATGGGTTCGCTTCTGCTCCCCAGACTCACCAAGCCTTCTATCTTCGGCAAATTGGTACCAGACTTGTGTGGGAGGTTAGCAACACTGGCTCGACATATCGGTAGGTCTAGGCCACAGCGAGTCATTGTAAAAGCCAGATATGCATTCAATCACCTCCAACGATGCTTAATGAAGTCGAATGCATGGCACATCCTTCAACGCCGGGGACTTATCAACGCCGAGAGCTTTATCCTTTATTGATCTTTTACGGACTTTACGGACACACAGTGATCTACGCCTTATTCACCACGCACTCTTTACGAGAGATTAGGTCTGGTAGAGATTACACCGTACCCGAACTCATATGCAATCACTATCTCTGCTCCTAGGACAAATGATGCAATTTTGTCTCGTGCATAGACGGTAATACAAAGGGTTACGAACTAGCTTATGTCTTAAAGTGTTCGGTGGTAATTCAAGCATTGCTACTGATTTCTTTAGACCGGTCTTTGTTGAGCAATTTTTTATAAAAGATTCAATACGGTAAGCGTAAAGTTGAACAAAATACTACACTAGGTCCGCTTAGCACACAGCCACGTAACAGGGAAGACTTTGAGGTTGAAGTTGACGCCCTTGCATTTAGTCATTTACCATCCATATGATGTAGGTGTCGGGGTTTTCCTGCTGGAGTTATGGAGGTGGTTGACTAGGTTGCAATTAACTCGACCTTCCCAGCCTCTGAATAAGGTGAAATCTGCCGAAACCTAAGCTATTGATAAATAACATCGTAACAATAACATCTACATCTACATCTACTAAAAACCTCGTATGTGCTTATCGATAAAATAGCGAACTACTGTCAATGGCGAGGTTAATAGAAAGTCGGCTTTGGGAATTACAATCTACTAAACTGTTACGGACAATAAAGGTGAACAGGAGATATGCACCGAGTCCGATTTCTAGTGAATCGAAAAGAGCTAACTACGGAAATTTGTGGTGGCCCATGCCTTCACTTTTACATAAAAAATGATATGTGAAAAAAAAACCGTGAGTGAGAAAGTAATGCCTTCAATTTCGTTCATTACTATCTTTTCTTCAATTTCCTCATTATCATTTTTTTCCGTCATAGAACTTTATCAAAGCATAAAAACCTACCTTATGTTGTAGTGACGAATTGTCCAATTTCGGTTCGTCGTCCAACATCTGAAGAACACTCGACAAATAGATGCTTCAGCTCTATACTGAGTAAAAACAGCTATAAAGAATGCGGCGAAGAACAACACCGAGCACACCACCACCGTCAGTTCATCATCTGATAATGATGATGAGACTATACGATAACCTCTGAAACGAAGAACAAACGATAAAAGATCTCAAATTTGACTTTGTTTTACTAGTCGTTAGGCTTCGTTTACTGTTATTGTTTTTAGAACACTAGTAAAACCTTCCAATGTATGCTGCTAGTAATTATCAGAACATTATAATGCCCAAATGTGCTGCGAAGTACACTGATAGTTGTTGGTTCGATCCCGCATACTGAACGAACCAAGCCTCACGGTTATCAAACTGGCATCAGACCTGTGTAGCAGGATAAAAAAACTGACGTACTACCTCTATCCTTTTTTATTCTATTCTTATTCTATTCTATTCTATTCTTATTCTTATTCATCTCAACGGTTTAGCGCCTTATCGCGGCTGGGAGGTGTTCCTGGGTGTTGGACTGCGATGTACAGCGATGGGATTCGTCCCTCGGCAGGGTCTCTCAAGCTGAGAAGGAGTCCCGTGTTTCCATCAGGAAGCCTAGCTAAGAGTAAACCAATACCAGGATACACTACCGTCCTGGTATCAAAGTCGCATGGTGGTAAATCTCCCTCTGATCCACAGGGGCTGCGACTGCCTGTCGTAGTGACGAACTGGGACAGACTTTGGCCAGGCTCTCTTCGGGACCCCAGGGAACCACAATGGCTTAACCAGCAAGTCTCCGAAAAATGGTGATTATGCTGGAGCCCGCACAACTAGTGAGGACGGACCGTTCAAGTATCAGGTGAGTAAGTATTCTTTTTCATTACCTAAGCAAGTCTCTGTAATTTATTAAAGGACAAGTACTGGATCACGATGATACGAATGAAGTCGAATACATTAAGCAACCCTTAAGGATTGATTAGTAAAATCGCCAACGTTTAGCCGTGTCCTTCTATTTTCATATTTCGATTTCTTGTCCACCACTCTGCTATGAGCAAATCCACATTATTACGTATTTATTCATCGTACCTACTATCATCCGGTATTTGGGCGCGGATGGATGCCCATATGGGAATCTTGTAATCTTCTTAGTTTCCATAGTGTGAGATTATCGATACGAAGTCAGCAAAAAATTGCAACGATTAGTGGAAAGTGGTACTTCTAGGAGACATTATGGCACATCTCGTTAGAGCGAGCCTACCGTATTTGTCAACACAGGATTTAAGCACAATCCAAGTTCTTATAACTTTTTCTTAACTCTGCTAAACACTTTATCCACCCTTAATGCTCTCTACCACATTATGAAAACTCAGGATATACTTAAATAAAGAAAAAATTGTTTTCCTTAGAACTGTACGACAGAGTCCATCAAAATGACCGAAAGAATCTTAGGGTTTCGAAAACAAAAATAAAAAAATAAATAGAAATAAAAAAAAGAAAATGAATAAAGTCCATTCTATCTTTTTTGGTTGTTAAGTAAACTTTATAATCCAGGACCAGACGTTATTTTGAAGGAATGCTTCGAATAGTAATAGTATTTACTGTTATAGTGAGTCTTCTTTGTAGATTAACAATGGAAGGCTGTGTTGAACATTTTCTTGTTAGAAAACAAAACGTAAACGTTCGTGGTTTTTGTGCCCTTCCCGCTACTAATCAGTACAATGTCCTCGACTGTGATGTAGTGTTCTTGGAATACAATTACTCGTGTGATTCGTTTGTTGCTCAGCCTAATGATGTACGACGGATGGCCATGATGTCTATTAGGCGGAGGATACTTTCGTTGCTTTGTTCGTTATCCTCTCTTCTTCTACTCGTCCTCTCCGTTCTCTCCCACAATCGACTCCGTCATCTAATAAGCCCAGTCAGCCTCATAATCATCATGGTTTTACTCGGAAGCGCTGACTGACAAATCCACATCATGAGCTACCAAAATTACCCACATTGTGTCTAACTCTCAAATTACTTCATCTGGCATTATAAGTTGAATGAAGTGTTACTGCAGATTGAATAAAAGAATAGCTAACCCTTCCGAAAATATTCAGTTCTATAATTTGGACCACCTATAAGCTCCTTAACCAACGACATATTCATATGGATGCCATTAAAACCTTTCGTACTTGCTATCTTCCAAAACGTTCATAAGGGGCGCCGTTTACTCAAGTATAGACGGCACCATGCTTAGTTTTACATTTCTACGGATATCGTTCTTCTTTTTGAGACCCTCTAATCTTTGATGTGTAGCCAAAACTCGTCGCGAATAGAGCTTTGCCATGATGTGGAGGCTGTGTGTACTCACGTGTACATCGAACGCCCTGCTCTTCGAGAATAGACGCGAACTCCTTTGTTGGTGAAGATTGTGTCCGCTCACTTACACTCTGTTTTTCGTCTTAATTCAAATGAAGGTTTTTGTCCGAAACAAGAGCAAGTGCAAACCGCTACAACCAAGCACAAAGTAGTACGTAAGTACTAATATGCCTACGCACAACCAGAATACCTGGTCAGCATCGTGGATGACGGATGTCAGTTCTCAAACCAAGTGAAATAAAGGCTGGAATTTGCACGATATTTCAAATTAGGTCATATACAGCTAATAACGGAAACTCTGGCTCGGCAGAGATAAGGACTCTTTCCCCTGAATCTCAGGATGGGCAAAGGTTCGGTGTTGATCAGCTTCTAACTTCTTATTCACCATCTGATATTGAGCTACATGATCTGTGTGCTGGCAGACTCGAACTCGTTCATGCGAAAAACTTCTGTTTTGAGAAAGAATCTTTTGACTTAGACTTAAGCTTCAAAAAACGCGGCATGAACCGAACCAGTGTTCGATATGCTATCACTCTCTACTGGATCTGAGTGGAACACATCTTTGGTTGGACTTTCAAAATTCTTCTCACTTTCAACGTGATAAAAAAAAAGTGCGGTGAATTGAATTCTTAGGAGTTTTAATTTTCAACCAAATAAATTTTTCTCCTCAGTAATCGTTGGTACGAGTTTTCCAATTCGGGAAATTCGTTCCAAGTTTTCTAAAAAAAAATTCACTCAAATAAAATGCTTTTAGATCGTCTTCAAACAGTAAATGACTTTAATATAACCCTACCTTAACATATAAAGGTTTTATTGATTAAAATCAACGTAAAGACGATAGACTATTGCTGGCTATCAGCTATTAATTTTTACATTTTATATATTTTTATATAAATTCGTAAACAAAGTTAATCAGCTGTACCCGCAGCAGCAGTTATCTTACAGATCACGGTATGAGACCCGCATGCGGCACCGAGCTCGAATAAAACCACCACAATGGACGACGATTGCGAGAAAAAGGAACGAATTGCGTACATGCTGGAGTCCGCAAAATTCGTGAGGACGGACCATCCAAGTATCCACGTATACAAGTAGGTAAAGACGATAGCCACTCGTTTATTCCTCTTTCTTATTCCTAACGATGTCGGAAATGTTACGCAATGAATATGTGTTGATAATATTGACAGATTGAAACGAATGAAACAAAAATGTTCGGTGAGAAATTCTTACCTCAATCTAGAATGATATTGTTCGGAAAGTTGTAGGAAATGTATTGACAGCACAGCACAAACAACCATAATGATGAACACGAAAATGAACAAGACGTTCAGTAGACGATCTCTAGCGGAAAGATGCGGGAAATGCAGTGAAGAGAACTGAAATTCATATAGTCTTCAGTGTTCATCAAGGAAGAAAGAAGAAGAAAAATGATGAATACATCGGCCGCCGCTATACTGCTAACAAATAAATGACCATGTGCATTGATATCGAGGCATAGAATCGGTTCCAATACATATTCTAGCCAACTGCTTATTTTACACTGAAGAGTTTATCTGCTAAACTTTTGTATTCAAACGATAGGTCGCCCAAGGACGCTGGACCACGCTTAGCCCAATAAAGGTTGCTCTTTACAGTTTAGAATTTAGAAAAACATTTCTGGGACCAGTTTTCCTATGCACATCACTGGCGAAGAAAAAATTAGATCTAGTCCTATGCATGTGCTAAGAACGTAAATTCTCTATCATCAGACTTTGCCAAAAAAAATTAAGAGCGCATTCGGTTCTAATCGAAGAACAGTAAGTGGGAAGGAATAAATGGGGAAAAACTTTTAGATAAGGACATTTGGAAAAAATGCACTGGAAATTTGCTGAGATGACAACTTTCGTCGGGTGGCGATCAAATATGGATAATGTAATCAATCAGTATCAGTATCTGACTGTTCAGAACTGTTTGAAATCAAAACAGTACTACAGCAGAAAGAAAACGAAGCCTCCATCACTTCTTCAAAGCTCGTTTTGCTTTTATCTTCCAATGATAAACACTCAACTAACTAATCTCCAAGTACATTGCTGATAATGTGATGCTATTAATTAAAAACAAACAGACACTATAAAGAATAATCACCACTTCGTCGTCGAGTTTCGGTTTTTTTCTTTTCCTTAAAGAAAAACTAAACTTATGTAGTCGAGTTGTAATGTTAATGAGATCTTTGATATATGTACAATTCATGGAATTCAAGTCACTTTTGCCTTTCCTAACACTCCACCCACTTTCTAACCCAGTGAGAAATATGCTCTTTGATTGGATGAATAGCAAAATGGATTTCGACTAGGCTTTTTCAATATCCCTGGTTATTCTTTATTTTTCTTTTCATCATGCCAATATGGGAAATTCATAGCCGGTTTCGGTTTAATGGTTGCCGAACGACGACAATAATTTCATTGTCTCATGTCTTTGTCAAATTCAGTGCGCGTCGTGGCATGAACTACGGCCAATTTCCAGCATATGGCCTACAGTATCATGTAGCCATGTATACATATATGTGTATGTATATTTATATATATATACATATAAGTGCATGTATATATATGTAGATATATATATATATATGCGACCACACACACGGAAACACACATACAAATATACCCACAACACGAACATAAACGCACGTGCATGCTCACACACACAAATACACATTTCCACATACATCCACTCAAAACACGTAGTGACACGCATGGATGTATGTGTATACACACGCTAATATGAACTAAAAATTCCTAGTTATGCAAATTATATAATGGCATTATTTAATGGCTATCCGTTGTCGGCCTCAGCCCAAGGAATTCATTCCCACAGTAGACAAACAGAAAGACAGAGAGGTAAGTAAAAAGGCCAGTTGGATTGTCGTAACTACTGCGGACCACTCACATTAACACAATTTCGTCGCCTGTAGTTGTACCCACACAGCTCACATCGAGGTGATGGTATCATTTTTCGTGTAGATAACTCAAGCCAATGCTGAAATTTATTCCACATTACTTTCTTTATGTTCATTTTCAATTTTTCAAAATATAAATTTAAAAATATGAAGTTTGTTTTCTATTTTATAGTCATTTATTAATAGAAATTAACTGACGACTAGACAACTTCTGTGCACGTAGAGAAGACTACCAGAACAACGACATGGTGAAACGAAAGGATCACGGGTGCTTTCGCATTCCGTATGACAAATACGGCACAGTGCTATCGAAGAACAAACGGATCCTGAATGAATTTTCGATTAGACGACAGAAAAAGAAAGCGTCCAATCTTAACCTTTTTATTTACTGGCTACTATAATTTTTCACGGCAGGGCATCATGTTATATACAACCAAGATGATGCTGAAATATTTGCAAAACTCCGGACCGCAGGTGTACGCGGTGGGGAACGAACGCGTTATTGTCCTTTTCGGGGCCTAGCGCGTTTACCACTACGCGATGCGGTTCCTTCGCTTCGCCTGTTTCTCAGCTAAGTTTCTATCAATCACTGCTATGATGGGTGACCACTGATGGTAGTGGTCGAAAGATAACTAACTAAGAGACATGCGAAACGAAGGACTCGCACGGTGTGGTGGCAAACGCGTTAGCCTTCGAAAAGGGTAACAGCGCCTTCGTTCCCCAGCGCAGACACTTGCGGTCCAAAACGTCCAATGTTGATCAATTCTTCAGCGACGTGCCATGAATTCGACTACATTCGTAGGATAGCAGAAGAGACTGAGTTCATATTTTGCATATTCAATGACTTATAGACACGTACTCATATACTGAGTGGATGTTTCCTTCTGCTCCCAAGGCAAATTCCCCAGCAATCTGTCCCCCGGTAGGCATGGAGGAGCCTGGTTACGCCGGCTTTGGGATCGAACCAATAATCATGTGCGTACTTTTAACCATTACGCTATACCCGTACCTAGACTTACGTTTATCTCAATTAAATTAGCTTAAGACAAGACTATAGTAGTTTAAGACACTCCACCTTTACTGTCGCCTAGATGAGTGTCGAGCTGTTGATTAGGCAGCCAGACCGGGCAACTTTTCACGTCCACCACCATCGTCTCGGTCGCTTCGTCTGCATTCTTCGTAATAAGTGGTTGATTTTCATTCGCAAATAAGCATGATGGTAAGGCCTTAATACACAGATATTCGATTCGCTGTTATCTGCTGTTGTATGGTAAAATAAGATGTCGAACAGGATCTTTCAAAAGGTGACCGATTTGTCTTCGATTTCTTTCAATGCAACTGGAAGACAAGACCATATATAAAAGCATTAATTAACTGTATGTATATGTGTACATATATGCATATATATACGTATTCGGTCTTTTTGATCCCCTGGTGAAGAATGCTTTACCAATAAGAAAATATTAAGCTCCTGCTGTTGATCTCTCCGCTAGAGATACGCCATGCATTCGGCTCCATTAATGGCGTCTTAGAGAAGAGTGGAAGTTTTAGAAGTTTCACCTATATAATGACTTGTAGGAGCTTAACGATGTATCAGGTCAACGCTTTTGGCCTGGAGAATGGAGAGTTTAGTTTGCTCGGGTGGAGGGCTTGAGCCAATAACTACGTGTTTGTTGTAAGATATCACTAACCTCTGCGCCTTAGTAAAAGATGGGAAAAACTTAACATTATGGAAACTGTTGAAAAATAATAAAATCTCCAGGAAAAATTCCTTATAACAACTAACAATGTTCAAAGTGCTTTTATTCATATTATTTTATTGACTTCAGCACACATCAATACTGTAATGGTTGGTTTGGTTCAGAGTGCTGAAAAACAGTTAAAGTAAAAATATTCTTGTACTACAATGCTGTTCTGTCAGATTTTCTTCTATATTTTAGCTCTAGGATTTCATGAAAACAGAAAGCAAGTTTTAAACATCATTATTCTAATTCTAAGGTCACCGATAGCGTATCTTAAAATTTCTAAGATATCTGGAAATCCTAGGGCCTTCTAACTGAAACGCAGCAATCGCCTGCACTGCTGGAGGACTCCATCGTCCACTGTTGGAAACGAAATCGTATTTGTTCAGTTGCTCTGCTGCTTGAAATACGAGCTTCAACAGAAAACACGTTTTTTGGATAAAAGATCGGAATTTCATCACGATCGAAAAAAATACTTGTTTTTTGTTTGAAAAGATCCGAGGATTCTGAAGATGTTAATTTCAATTGACAAAGTTCATTATCAACGAAGATTTGTTGACTTAAAATTGACGGTGGCGCCTATTATTAGAAAAAATCCAGCTGCTCATGAAAGAAATACTGAAAAAGAAAAGGCTACAAAGTGAAGAAAAAACAATAGAAACAGTAAGAGTAGGAAGTGAGTATGGACAGAGAGAGAGAGAAAGACGGAGAGAGAGAGAGAGAGAAAGAGGGAGAAAGGGAGATAGAGGGAGGGAGGGGGAGAGAGAAGGGGAAAAAGAAGAAGAAAAATGAAAATACGAATTGGCACTGGTTTTTGTTGAAAAGGAAGGTTAACCATATTTATAAAGAAGAAATCCGGACTTCAACTGTTATAAGAATTGTAAAAAAGGCTAGGTGTACTACATTGACGCAATATAGAAACTGCCCAGAAAGCTACTTATTGACAGTATCGATTTATTACCGTATAGTGTTCAATAGGCTTTAGCTGTCATTTATTATCAATCGATACAAATTATAGTCAGTTTTTTAGACTACAAGAAGTTTTCTACTTGACTTTTTCAGCTTAAATCAATAGAAAAACTTATTTGGACCGCCGGGAAATTATGTGCAATTTTCAGACGTTCTCTACTATTCGGCACTGTCGATTTTCATGGATTTCTGCACGACAATTCTCGGATTAAATTGACCCTTTAGGGCTACAGATTGTTAACCCATTTCCCTATTTCTGTTATACATCACCCCTCTCCCACCATAAACGGTCACTGATAAGAAAATATTCACAAATATCTTAAGGTCTCTGCATCACATGATAAGACAGTTAGTCATATAGAAGCTATCAGTGAGATGAAAAACATCTAATCATATATCATTGACGCTTTCAGTTGCAGTCGAAGTAAAAGAAAAGCTAAGAATTGAAAAAGAAAAACATAGAATAAAAAAATGATTTGACTACTAATTATAATATAACGTAAAAGAAACTGCCTGCGATTTCATTTCAGCTTCAGAAGTTATTCAGCTTAACAATCAAAATCTGGTAACTTTTCCTACAAACGGAAAACGTGGTAAAGGGCAAAAAAACCTCATGGCTGGTTTGGAAGAACCCTAGAAGCCCCAATTAGGTACACCCAGTCCAGTTCCTCACCCACAGCATATTCTCTCGGTGAAATCATGCGATGAAAACAGAAGAAAATTAATGGACTCATAAGAAAAGTGAAATGGTTCTCGTATCTCTCAAGCAAAACGAATCCGTAGTTATGAATGAGTAAAGAAACTTTGGCTGCGCCTTATCGAGTCAGTGGATTATTACCGAGATTATAAAGTGATACTACTAAGTAGTGAAGCATTTGGCACAGTGGTCGGGGGCGCCCTGCAATACACACGCGGTGTCGATCCCCGCGTCTATGGCCCACCAAGCTTTCCATCCCTCCGGGGTCGGCAAATTGGTACCAGGCTTGTCTAGGAGGATAGCAACACTGGCTCAATACATCGGTAGGCCTCTGTGAGTCATTGTAAAGGCCAGATATGCATTCAATCACCTTCAAACGATGCTTAATGAGGCCGGGATGTATGGCGCATCCCTCAGGGATTGACCAACACCGAAAGATTTGTTTATGTATTTTGCTAGTAAGTAATAAAACAGTTCCTATTTTGGGGTTTCAGCTAACACTAGCAAGCAATATCATTATCGCTATCATTGTTATCACATAGGACTTTCACTTGAGCTATAGTGTTCTAAACTCGAAAGCAATCGTAGAATAATTATTTCTTCCCGTTCTCGTTAAATTCTCACGCATAATTTTCAATGACACAGGAATTTTCATTTTCATCGCGACGGTTTTCATTTCCCGCGTACGTAATCGATGAAACACGTCTACCGCCTCAATGGACGAGCTGTCCAGGCCACATCACTTAAAATTAAAATGAGTGAAAAACTGGAGTACCTGTTCTTCACTATGCTGCCGAGTTAATGACCATGACGATGAACGATTACATTCATGCACTGAATTCTGAAATGGTTATTTATTTATTATTATATTGAACATTCAATGGGAACGAATGTACTTAAAACCTCACGGCTAGTCTGGAAAACCCCTAAAAGCTTCGACTGGGTGTACCCAGTCGACGTCTTTACCCACAGCATTTCTTCATTTTACAGGATTGAACTCAATATAATTTCTTTATTCACTTAGCAATCCACTAAGCAAGCTCTTCGCAGATATAGCGTTTATCCTCACTACAATCACCTCTTGACTCAACCATCTTATTATCCACTGGTTTCCTTGATTAGCAAATACAAGGATACTATTATAGTATTTACTAACACAGGGTAACTAGCGTTTCGGTTGTTTGGTATCTTTCAGAGCCTGGAGTTATTCGTCAATGCCGAGGTTAAGAGAAAGTCAGTCTTGAGGTTTTCATCTTACATTTCTAAGAAAGATAGTCTTGAGATTTTCATCCTACATTTTTAATAGCCTCTATATAGGTATTGAGGTTGGCGCAAAAAAGAAAGGAAAAACATCTGACGTTGTTCAGTGACCCGTTTCCGGAATCCGCGGACGCCGTCGACTGAGCGTCAGTGTCGTGACGTGAGCGTGCAGGTTTCACCTCGGCATCTGATTCCGAGACAGTCGGCACAACAATTGCTGACATCTATAAAAGAAGCAAGACTCATTTTTATTTTGTGTAAATACAGAGAAACTGCTTTGACGAGTGATCCACTCTCGTATCAATAACGTAAGAATCAAATAAAATCCAACGATTACTATATATGAAGCTGGCTCACGCTTCTGATTCCATTCGTAGTGTTGAGTACGTAATTAGATGCATATCTGGTCTATACAATAACTTTCGAAGGCTTACCGGTGGGATTTACTCAATGTTTTTATCCAACGAGACATCTGACAGCAATTGCTGAGCTCGAAGGGACGGAGGGAAGGCGACGCATGGTCCGGCTTCAGATCGAACCAGCGAGCGATCCAGTGTGCATTGTAGGCCACTTTTGACCAACGTATTACATGAACCCTTCACTCTATATAGTATTCTGACAGCAGAAAGATGGACACACGTCTAGGAATCTCCCCATAAAGGATAAAAGGATAAAGCTCTCGGCGTTGATCAATGCCTGAGGAATACACCACGCATTCGACCTCATTAAGCATCGTTGGAGGTGATCGAAGGCATATCTGGCTTTTACAATGACTCGCTGTGGCCGAGACCTACCGATATGTTGTGCCAATGCTACTGCCCTCCTACACAAGTCTGGTGCCAATTTACCGAAAATGGAAGGCTTGGTGAGCCTGGGGCGCAGGAGCGAACCCATGTTTTGCAGGGCGCCTCCGACCACTTCGTTACACGCTCCCGCAATCTCCCTATGTGAAATTTATTCATTGATCTCAAGTCATGCTTACAAATCCACCGATAAACAGAAACAAAACTGTGGGCT